TGATGATTTATTGTTTTCTTAGAATGTAAGTAATAACGTAACTCACGAATTATAAATTTATTGTTTCGTAATATTTCTTTTTATGTCGCCTATTCATTCAGAGTTTGAAGTTTTTTTTTTTTTCAAAAACAAAAAGTTATTTCAAGCAGACATGCGCTCACATTTCAATAAACAATGTTTTGCAGCACACGTTTTTGTTAAAACAAAAAACAAGAGTGAAAAATGATTGAAATTGTTAATGACTACCTTGACGTTGTTCCATTTGTGACACACTATGATTACAAATTACATAAATCGCGTTCAAACAACGTAGTCGCATAAAAAATTGTTAATATGGTAATTTGAGCAATAATAGCCAATAATAGTGATCTAAATCGTTAACACCTGCATTATACATGCACCGTATACGCTCGGACGACGTGTGATGTGTGATTTAATCGTGCGAAAGAATGTCTGATTGAATTCGCAAGGTGTGCTTGATTGATCGCATTCAATGGCGGCGATATAAATGCTGTGTGAATATTTTTATATTTATGCGCTGATTGTTTTCAAGTCACAATACAATAGAAATGTCACAAAGCACAACGTATTTTTTCTCTCGGTATAATTAACTGTGTTTTTAGCAACACGAAGCGCAAATACCTACCACTGGAATTTTTTCGTAGGAAAAACACACAAAAAAATATTGGGTACACGTGAACATATTTTTTTATTTACGTATACTAGTCGCAAGCGAATGATAGTTCAATATGACTATAAAATGTTTTATTTTTAATTTGTTGATCATCAATTGCATGTTAATTGAGTCATCAATCTCTGAACCGCATTGCGTGACCAATCGTTCAGTGTAATACACAATAAACACCATAAAAACACCGATTTCACTGCCCATTTCGTATTATGCAAAGTATATTCGCAATAGCACATTAAATTTAACTTTGTCACTGCTCTCGGTTTAATGCTCGATGCTGAGTAACAACATTTAATAATTTCAATGACTTTGAAGCCATGAATCTTCCAAGAGATTTTCGCACATTACAGTTTTATTGTCTGTAATAAAACAAACCACTATGATATAAGACACCAATAGAAGTTCTTCTGAGCCTCAATGAATTTCACTTACTAATTACGTTATAATCGGTTTTCCCTTGTTATTTTTTCGTACTAAGGCGTATATTGTGCTTAAAATGTGTTTCCTATCGTGGACGGGTTTGCACAACGCGGCACGCGAACGCATACAAGGTCAATACAGTTATATAATCTAGAAACACAAAATTGAATTAAATATGTTCATAATTCCCAATATTAGATGGCGTGTAATGATATAATGGAGGTCAAAGAGAAAACGCATGAAATATTTGGATGAAATACGAAAGCAGCAAACACACATCGGAAATTTGCACACATTTATTGTTGGTTACGTTGGATGCAGACGGAATGTTGCGTATTACGTGAGCATAATGCGGAACAAGTTCAAGAGGTGCTATTCGTAACGTGTGGCAAAACACTTGAAGCAGGCAATAAATCAAAGAAATTATACGTTTACGATACGCTTGATATGCTATCCGCATCATGCATGTCGAGTTGTTTGGTATTCCTAGGATTTAACAAGTGCCAAAGTTTATTATGAAATGCTAATATAAGTTCCAATTTTTGGTAATATACGGCTACTTAAATATAATTCGAATAAATTTCCATTTAAATTCCACCGTAACTATTATGCGGATAAAGAATAAAAATGTTTGTTAGAATTGCTTGCAATGTCTTCAGAAGCAAATTAATATCTACATGCGAATTTGCATAGTTAGATACATAGATATGCTAATAGCAAGATAATTAATTATTCAAGAGGAGTTTGGTATATTATTCTAACACTAATTGGTGCCGCTAGAGAAGTGAAATTTAGTGCGATAAAGTTTAGCTCGTTGCGTTGCAGCCAGTTGGCTCACATTGAGCATAGAAGTGTTAAAAACTGCTTAGTGCTTTGCTTAGCTAACTCTAGGAGTTGTAGTAGACGTAGATTCGGAAAGTCCGATTAATTAAATCTTAATTAATGCATAGAAAACCTGCAAAGCAGGTAAACAAAACATTAACAAATTCAAAATCCGGGTTTGAAACTTATACTGAATAATTTAATATTAATATCTGTAGCAATTAGCAATTAATGTGAGAAACAATAAAAAATAGAAATATTAAACACTTCATGGTCTATTAAACAAAATTAAGAAAAATTCGTAAACAAATTTGATTATTACGAAACGAAATTTTATCGCTGCTTTTATTGCCGATATGTTACAAGCCTATTACGCGATATTTGTTCCTCTTTTCGCGATCGTTTACAAGCATTTACGAAAAATACTTAGCTGATTAACAGGCAAACGCAAAAAGAACAGGGAAACAGCTAATAACGATATAAAAATCGTAAAGTGCGGCCGTAAACGTCTCCTAATAAAAAAATCGAATTTCGTATAAGCGTCGTTCGATGATTTATTACTTTGCGCGCGATTAACAGGATTATGAGGCTAATATTAAATGTATACGGATGGGTTGTGTTATATTGACGCAGAGAGATAAATAATTAAGTCGGCATGATGTCATGCTGCGTCTGTTTTTAGTTATTTGGAGGAGCATTTCGTAAGTGGTCAACAAAGTTACCTGTCAAAACAAACCAAAAAGAAAATTTATTGGTTTGGACCAGAAATAAAACCATTACCAAGATTATTATGAAAACAAGACTATAGTATCTACAAAGTATGGAGCATTGTAAGCCCCCTTCAATTCGCGTGAAAAATAGGACTTTTCAGGAATAGTTAATAATAATTACAAATAAAAGTTCACCGGTGTATGAACTTGTTTTGCAGTCAGCAATAGATAAACAGAGTCGGTATCATTTTGTATAAATCTTAAATATGTCCCGCGTGCATCTACTCCTCGCCCTTATAAGTAAAAGGTGCCTTGAAGTCTGCGAGATAAAATTGCACCAAGCGCGCAATCAAAGTGAAGTGTTCACGGTTCGCGTGCATTTATATTCCTTTTTGGTTGTGCCGTTTTGCTCGCCATTCTCTTTTTGCATTCTAAGTCAGGCTAGACCAACTTGCATCGCGTATATAAATTTTGTATCGAATGCAAACAATCTCTTCTTTGTTTTTGCAGCGGGCATTCTTTGGAAGATGCATGATGCATTCCAACTGAATTCGAAAGCCGGTAATAATTCCAATGTAAACAGAGTGTTTTAAAAATTTCAAATTTTTCCAGAGGTAGTTTGATGCAACGGTCGCTCGAAGAGTGAATCAAGTATTGATAGAATATCGGCACAAATAAGCCTTTAATCGGTTTATTTGCTTCCTCGTCGACCCCAATTTTCGTTACGCAGTAAGTCAGCGAATTGAAGCGTCGTAATCTGTTAAGTATTATTGCTAAATTCATCTGACATACTGTGACATCAACTTTAAGCCTTTTCGCTTCCTTCCTCTTTCACTCTCGCAACAAACACGAACTTAAAACAGACTTTCGCCACAGAAGTTCCCACATCGTTCAAACACATTTTGCATTTTAACAGACGGCACGTGAGCCACAATTTAATTAAATGTCTTCATTTCTGTATACAAACCTCGTACATCTTCACTTCTGTTTATACAAACGTTCTACCACATTAGGTGTGTTACATAATTTCAAGCGTGAAAACAGATTTTGCTTAATGTTCAACAGAAATACTTCACATAATATGTAGAACTTTCCACATGTTTACAAAATTTTAATAAGTACTGAAAATGAAAACTTGTTGCTTCCAGCGTTTGTATTTTTCCACGCAGCCAGTTTAACTCGTTCCATTCAAAAAAGCCACATTTATGTTTAGTGTTATTACTCCCAGAAGAAAATTGAGGCAGTAATATTAAATATTTATTTTTATATCTACCGGTTTAGCAGTTGTGGAGTTAAGGAATAAAAGTTTAATTCTTCCACGAAAAATACCTGCGTAGAAACTTGAAAACACACTCAACTTAAGCTAAAATAGACGTAAAATATTCCAAAATGTGGCATGAAATTGCAAAAATACGTAGGTACATCATTTTTATGTATTCTAAACACCCGCAACTAGCGTGATTTAAATTACATTATTCAACACTAGTGTACAAACGCTGCTGGCCGAAAATAAATGCACGATTTGGCACATTACACAAATAGGCGCTTCGACTTCGACTTGGAGTAAAAGTGAACGGAATAATAAAGCAAGAAAACACACACATGTGAAATAAATGGCGGTAAAAGAATCTCGATCTCAACATGCGACGTGCGAAATGAAAATAACTTCGTAAGCAAGGTTCCGCTTGGCAATTCATCTATTTCTCGGATTACTCGCAAATCAACTCTTTGTTTCTGTGCATCTATCATCATAAAATACTATTTACTAATATTCTAGTTCAGTTGTAATTTTTCCATGGCTATTTCTGGTCTTCTGGTTATTGTAATGTGTCGCTGTGGTGCTCTTATCAACGCTAATCGCAATTTTTATCGGTAGAGTATATTTATATACACACACAGTTCACTTATGAAGAACGTTCTCTAGATAACGGCGTTTTACACGTCTTACACGTACACCTAAATATTCAAATTGTTTGTTTGGTTCGTTTTAACATAAACATGATGAAAAACTGGTCTACTTCCAATAGATACCAAAACACGCTGTAAAAAATTGTATTCAAAGTCAAGCTGTGTTAATGAGCACTGTTTCAATCCGCTGTGCAATATAATAATCTCTTTATACGCCAACATCTTATATGTACATTATTTAAGCGCATATGCGTTTATTTTATGTGGTTAAATCGTCGCTCGACCTTGAGGACGAAAATAACTATTTTTTTTGTGAACTTTATTTCATCACTCTGGAGGAGTCCCACCGCGTTGTGGCAGAGCAATAAATGTCCATGGAAATACACTCATAAACCATCGACATTTTAAAATATTACGCTATTATTGATATTCATAAAACAAAAACTTACCATGTGTTAGTTGTGATGTGAGATGTCGACGCGACTCCGGGTCGTAACCCGGACGATTTTCTTGCCTTGACGCTGTTGCTCGGAAAGTTAATCCACTTTGAAATACGTGATTTTCTCAATAACAACACACGCACAGCTCACAACAACCGGATCCAAGGAGTAAAACAACTGGCTGTTCTTTGCGTTCGTTATTAGTACTAGATATTGTGATTAGCGGGCGGCGCGCGGTGAATTTCGGCGCGATGGTGTCGCGAAAACTTAGCACAAATTAGCATGAGATTTCTCAAGTGCGCGGCTGAGCGTGCGGGCGTTTGTTGCGCCCGGCCACCGCTGTTAAGTACACACTGAATTACGCGTCGCGCACAAACATCACGTGATTTATAGTTGTATAGTTAATAATAACAAGCAGCAGCAGCAACACACAGAGAGACGAAAGCGCTTCGAGTTCGTCGCGGCGTATTTTGTTGTATTAGCGGCCAACCCGATACTCGGCCTTTGCTGCGCTCGAGAAATACGAGAACGCGAGAAAATAATCGAGGCGCGAGCGCTGACAGTAAACAATGAATTTCTTGTGCGGCCGCGCGTTCTTCTTTTCGCACGCCGGCGCACTCTCGCTGGGCTTTTTCGATAATCGCACTTCGTTTCGATTTCAATTTCGTACGTTGCGCACGCAACCAGCGCTGAGCGCTTTTAGCGCAACGCGCGCGTTAAAAGCAACGCACTTTATCGCTGATAAACGCATATGTGTGTGCGTATGATAATCACTAATCGCATGTAAATATCGCATTTAAAATAGAATCTTCGTCGGGCGGCGCGGCGCGCTTCGCGTTTGTTGCGCTCTTTGCGGACAAGCGATTTTCACGTCCCGCCACACGGTTTGTTTGGTTATTAATAAAAATGGCCACAAATAGACTTAAGAAGCTTTCGCGCGCGTTGGCGAGCGTGTTGAGTAGCAAACAAATATCCAGGCACTGTCGCCGCTATTGTACTGGAGATGCGCGGCTTTGTTGATGTTGTGGTTTTGTACTGTGTCGAACACGGGTGCCAATTGAAGATGGCTCCTATTACTATTTATTTATTTAATTCGTTACGCTTCCCAACGTGCGCAACGCCCGAGGATGGTTTTGTCGTCCGAGTGGACATCGCCGTGGCGCATTACCATACGATGCGGGATCACTGATAAAAACGGCCGCTCGAATGCTTCGGAAATCTTTTCCAATCTTTGCTTTCTTCCGTTCAGCGTGCACAAATCCTCAGCACATTTCTCTTTTGCCGCGTTTCGATGCAACGCGCGCAATTCACAACTTTTCAAAGTCTCGCACCCGGTGCTTTCGAATTATAATCACAAATCTTCGTGCGTCGTCGTCAGAGCTTGGAGCATATTTTATCTCACGCTGATTCCGATGTTTCGTTGTTGGCAGCTCCGTGCCTCGCGTTCATGCACACATTAAAAACTTTGTGCGGCTATAACAACCGTCCGCTCTCGAATCGCACTCGTAACTAGTCAGCGAGTCGGCGATCACTGCGGCCGAATGCAGTCGGTGAGCGAGCGGGCGCTCTCTCGATTCCGCCGCTGTTTACGTCGTCGTCGTCACCGTCGCGTGTCTTCACTGTGCGGCCAGTCGGCAAAGTACCGTCGCGCCGCGATGGCATAATGCGTCCGACGTCTTGTCTCATGCACTTGCTTTTCAAGACGTTCGTCTGACTTATCTTATTACTCACCTACACGCACAGCATGCAGCCGTATAACTACAATGTTTACGTCTTTTGGAAGTCGGGGCCGACTTGGAAGAAAACATAATTCTTCTGTACTGCGCGGCACTTTTAGAAATGTGATATCGCCTGTTGCACACGCCGAAGAACAAGTTTTCTAACTTGAGAGAAGTGAATTGGTGCGCCATCTACACGCGATATTCAAAACTAATATAAAGGATGCTACCAAGTCATTGAATTCTGTAACTACATCCTAATCAAATTGAAATTAAACCTAATCCTTGTTAACAAGAACATTGATAAATAAAAGAATAAAATTAATTAGACTATCTAACTATTTCTTGACATTCAATAAATATATTTTGCATATATTGAAGTTCAACATTGACATAAAATAATAAATTGAATAAGTAACACATCAATAATCTCAATCTGCTTATATACTGTTAGGTTTATCACACATTAATTTCTCAGAGTTATCAGTCTCCCAATAATCAAATCACCATTCCTTTGCACTCTCCTCCACCGCAGTTTCTGACTAGACCTCTTGCATCAACTAGTTAACAGCAAGTTTTTCAGCAAATTGGTTATACATTTAAAAATTGGTTCGTAATTGTTTCCCTTAAAATCGACTTGAAGACAGGATAGTATTATTGAAACATGACTTTGCGGCAAGTCCAGACCTCGTCAATTATTCGCAAGAATAATAAGTAGATAGTACATGCATTATTAATTATTATGTGTGGTAACTTTAAGCAGTGGTGTTGAGTCCACCCATGGACACACGTCCTCACATTCAGGAAATTTGGACAACTCAAAGTGGTCCTTCCTTCTGGGACTTGTGGGTGCAGAGATTGTTTGAATGGCGTGAAATCGTGGCACGCTAAGACAGTGCCGTAAACTTGGTACACTTCCTCCGTTTGCCATGCTAACACTCTGACCTATGCTATTCGAGTGTTTACCAAAGTTTTTACTATTTTTGCGGGAGCCTTTCCTGCCAGACACATCAAACATAGATAATTGAAACTGTGCCAATGTAGCCGACGAATTTGCTAAATTCTCTATGCACGGACAGGATGTGCTGGATGTACGCCACGCTTCGCTGCAATTATCCACATTTCCGTCAGCCGCATTGAGTGGACTGGCGTCGATATCCTCGAAATGTTTGTTGCTTCGTGAGCGTGTAGGTCCTGACTCTAGGTTCTCGTCGCTCGCAAATCGTAGACGCTTCGGTGATTCAAAGCTGGAGCAACGTGGTATCGGACTACGAACGATGCTGTTTTTGTTCTTGAGAGAACTGCGCGGTACGATGTGTCCGTTGTTGTCCAACAGCTTACAACGTCCGTGGGATCTGTCGCGGCGTCGTTCGCGCGCCTCTTTCCGGAGCAGTCGCATCCGCTCGTCCTCTCCAATGAGAAAATACGTTTGTAGATCGCCCTTGCCTTTCATGCTGACCATGCCACGTTCGATCAGATTGTATCCGCCGAGCTTCGAGAGCAAATGTTGACATTGCTTGCTGCAGTGGATTTTTAACGCTGAAAAGCGATTGAAACAAAAATCAAATATATCGCAATTGTTTATGTCCGTGGTCAGCTTACATTCACCGGTCGATTCCATCCGGCTCGCTGTATTGACAGTGTCGCCGAACAAGCAATATCGGGGCATTTTTAACCCCACGACGCCGGCACAAACAGGTCCTGGAATCAGAACAACGTTAGGCATAAAATTTTCATACCCTACGCACAGATTTAAGAGGCGGAGAAAAGGGACAACTCATAAAAATGTTTTATCTAGTTTCTCGGGAGGTTTTCGTTCGTTTAAAAATACGCAGCTACAAAAAAAAGAAGGAACCGTAAAGGAACAAAAGATTTTACCAAAGGAAGCAAACAATGAGATCCGGAGACGTGGCAGCAAAGTACACATTAGGCCTTACCTGAATGTATTCCAATGCGGAGCATCAGCTTCTCGCCGGTGCGATGCCTGATCGTAAAATTCTTTACTTCCGACAGTAAATGCAAAGACATGGTCGCTATCTCCGCCGCGTGCTGGTCATCATTGCGAATCGGTAGACCACTTACCTTAAATAAAAAATCTAATAATGTACTCATTGAAGTAAAACAAACAAAACAATTTAACAAATGAATTTTTAGAAATTCTATACTACATACCACCATATATGCGTCACCAATGGTTTCAACTTTGTAAACATCATAATTCTCGATGATGGAATCGAAACATGTGTACAAATCGTTTAAAAAATCCACAACCTAAAACAAGCAGCGTATAAATCGTTAATGTTTCGATTCAGGCACATTCAGACTAATATGTATACGGTAAACAATCAGAGTGATGGAAACTATGTCAACAGATAGATACCAATTTCCACTTTCGAGATTTATTACCTCACGGCCAATATGGTGATCAATATCGAAATAATAAATACAGCATTATTTGTTTATGAATATATAGATACCTGCAGTGGTGTGCTCTCTGCTGACATTCTTGTGAATCCGACGATATCACTAAAATAGATTGTCACGCAGTCGAACCCCTCCGCTTCCACTTTGTTACCACGCTTCAACTGTTCGGCCACCGGACGTGGCAACATTTCGTACAGTAGAGCCTCTGCAACATACGCACATGTGGGTTGTTTAATCCTAATCAATTCAAGCCATTTGCATGTCATTGCAAATGCGGCATGCAATTAATTTTGTACTCCCAACCCGATCACGCACAGACCTGTCTTCTTCTTTTCCTCCTGTAGTTGGTCTGTTCGTTCATCTACTAAAGCCTCTAAATTGTTGGCGTATTTCTCCATCATGGCCATCATATTGTCAAAAATGTTTGGTTTCCTAATAAAACACAAGATTTATTTTCACCCAAGAATGCATTGTCCAGTTACATTAAAACTTTGCAATTTAGGAATCTATTTCCAGGCCACTTTGCTCAACATATAACTTTGCACACTCACATTCCCTTACGCAGTGGTCGAAGTTTGGTCCGAATGCTCTTGAAGTCAGGGCGTTCGTCTGGACTTTCGTGCCAACATTCCTTCAGGCAGTCCAGCACATAATCGAAACTGTGCTCGAGCGATTCCAGTGGCGGCCTGCAAAACCCACAAACACACTTCGCATCATTCGCATTCCACGCGACGTTGAGTACACATTTTTACAACTATGCCTCATTGCAAATTAGCATACTTATGAAAGGGTCCCGGAAAGCAATTGAGCGGACTTAATGATAGCAGCGAGCAACTAACTTACCTAAACGGTGGACAGCCGGGTGGGCAATGTATGACACGATTCAGTATTTCGGCTGCTGATAGTGGGGTCTCACCGAAAGGTCCGTGTCTGCTATGGAGCTCATACAGGATTATACCAAACGAGTAAACGTCGCCTTTCTGGGTGCCCAATGGTGGATCCTTTGAGATGTACGAATCTGTTTCCCGGAGAAGCTCAGGTGCACGATACAATAATGCTTAAACCATAAACACTCACATTACACCTTACTTCATGCCATCTCTATCGTGGTATGTTATAATTTTGCAAATTAAAATTCATTTCACAGTAAATTCCAGACAATGTCGCTTTCCGGATGATTGAATTTAAGATTTAAGCTCTGAAGCGGTATCCCGTTGAAAATGCGGTGACTGTGGCGGTATTAAATCCGCATGTTTTATGCCTTCGAGCACGCGGTATTTAGATGCCGCGAGGATATAAATCCTTCCGATCCTCGCTAGGCGTTGAACCAAGCGGCTTTAAAATTTATCTCGGCCCGCAGCTCGACGCCACTCGTTTCGCACCTTTGCTGTGAGAACATATTGCGAACACATTACGCATCGTGCAAGGTTGCGTAAATCAACGCAACGCTTTTTCAAACACTTTGCGAAAGGGCCGCGGAGGCGGCGACGTGCCGCTTGTTTGCACAACGCGTGTGCGTCCGCTTACACTAGGTGATTTACAGTTTACGCTGGGGGCGGGCAAGCGCGATTGCGGAAGGCAGAAACTTCCGAGCGTCGAGTTTTAATTGCTCTTATGTTTTATTTAATTGAGCTTGTTCCAGGTGCGCATATTCTATATAAATTTTCATAATGAATATTTTCAACACCATGCAAAAAAAATTAGAATTAATTTTATAACCGAATAAAACAAAATAAAAATTAAAAAGCAATTTAAATAATTTCAATATAAAGCAAAAGTTTGTTAAAGAATTGAACAAAAGTATAAAACTCATTACGTACTGCGGCATTTTTCCAATATCCTGCTGGAATCCTTCAAGGAATGATCTTCGGCTCCTCGCTTGAATTCCCGGAGACCAAAATCGGCCAATTTGACAACCCAACGTGAATCCACCAGACAATTCGCTGTATGTAGAGCGCCGTGAAATCGCACGGGCGAGTCATGCAAATAAATCATCCCCTGGAATTAATTAATTCGTTAAAATTAAGTCACACGCGCAAACGTGCTCTTTTCGTATTTGTTCCTCTTATTTATTCAGTAATCTCACCAACTACCTTGTTTAAAAAACAAGACAGGAGATAATGAAATTTGAATTAATTGTGCCACGATTAATATGAGGAAATTGTCTACTTTGTAGAGTAATTGCGTGGAAGCGTCATGATGTCATATAGAAACTTAATTAACGACCTAATCTGCGCGAAGGCGTGTTGGCACCGAAATATGAAGCAGTAAACTCTGTACAATCACAAGCACACACACATATACACAAGTATACAAGAGGATAGATAACAATTTGTGCGTATTAAGGTTTTTACACACGTTCGTTTCCTTATTTCATTCATTTCGCTCTTGTGTATAGTCAGTGTCGTCCGAGGGTGTCATATAGCTTTTTGTATTCAACGCGACCGCCGGCCGGCGCGTAAGATTAATGGCTAATGTACGTGCGTTTAAAAGAGCGACGAAGAATATGTGCGAATTTAATAAGCATTTGGGCGTGAGGCATGGGTAACGGAACTGATCTACGCCACACAAATACAGCGCGGTCGAGTCGGGTCGTTTCAGGGCAAGGTTAAACGAAATGAAGGAAACGAGCAAGACTGGTAATAAAAGTAATGGAATCAATAAGGTTTTCTCTCGGAGCGAGTGTCATTTGCGGGGAGGACTTTTAAAGACACAATTGGCCAATATAAAAAGTAATATGGTCCTAATGTCACCACAAATGTAGTCAGTTTATATTTTAATGGCTGTTTTCATATCTAACTAATGATGCGGCATTTGTATTGTAATAGAAAAGTCTTTTGCGACATTATTCGTATTAGCAACAGGATGAGAGCGTAGGGTGACTCACACTTCCATCCCTCTTATTTTACAGGTACCCACAGTTCGCATCGCCTACCCACACTCCTTTTTGCCGGTCGCCGGCAGGTATAAAAGGCGAGCGCATAGGGCGCCCTGCGCTCAGTCGTGTCTAGGTCGTCCAGCAGTCAACTCTGTGGTAGAGGGGGGGCTCTTTACTCCTAGGTCTGTCTAAGAAAAAGTTTGGACCAAAGGTTGGGAATTTCCCCAGCCCCTATTGCAATACTGCGCGCCCTCTAATAATATTCCCCCTGATTAATTTTATAAGCGTAAAGTTATTTCAGAACATTTAATATCACATGGTGTTATGATTTATAATTTTATTATCCGCACGTAAACCGCAGCGTTTGCGGTTATAAGCCAACACGTTTGCCGTCCCTGTTCGGGATGCAATAAAGTAAAGCAATTAAAACACTCCAACTCACCCGCAATATGTCGCCGACCAAGGACGCGATGAACATGCTGTCCAACTTCACGTCTTCATTTTCCAATATGTCCTAAAGTTTATATAGCAGTTTGATTGTCAACAAATTTAATTAAATGCAGAGTGTTACCTTTAAACTGCCTCTTGTGCAATATTCAGTCACGATGCAAATATTTGGTGGTTCTGTACATGCCCCAATAAATGCATTTAAATTGTCATGTCGCAAATCACGCATCTGAAAATTAACATCGCATTTGTTTATATGATCTATTTTTATGTTGATTGTTTACCATTTTAAGTTCCTTTTTCATTTCACGTGTAATATCAATTGACTTCTTGTGAATCCTCTTGATGGCGAAGACGCGCACCTTATAAATGCCAATTTGTGTGAAAATGCTTGAATAACGGAAGTCAAAATCAGCATTCGAATTTATTGATCCTTGACTCGTCCGTAAAGGATGCAGCGCCTTAACAAAATATAGCGTGATTAACAAATTATTCCGACCAGCTTAATGTAATTGTAATTTTTGCATCATTTGCAAATTCACTTCACTTATAATATCACATTGCGTTTTAAATTACTTTTATTATCTTGCACTAACATTCACGTTATTATAACGCTTGTTTTCGTGTTTGAATAAAGTTTCATTTAACTTTCATAACAGCGTTTGCTCATTTTAATTAATCATATTCTTTTTTGTCGGCGAATTCTACTTTCTACTTTTTTGAATTCTTGCACGCTGAATTCTGAGCTCGTTATAACTTGATTAGCATTCATTGTAAGGTCTTCCACACTCACCCTAGTAACTTTGGGGCCGAGACCATTTGCGTTGGGTTCGCCGTTGATTTGTATATCGCGAAAGTCGACTTTCCACAGTAAACTGTCCAGCTCCTGTTCGTAGCGCCAGTTGCGGTAGAAAATCAGCCCGATGACGGCGACCACCAGCAGCATGCCGCCGGCGACGCCGTAAATTATTTCAAGCGTATACGCTGTGCGGACATTAATGGGACATCGTTAGCACTTGATTTTTCTCATATTTCTTTTATTCGCAGACGTTTTCCGGAAGATAACATCAAAAGTGTACTTACATATGCATTTTTCACCTCGAAAACCACACGGTGGCACTGCAATAGGGGGTTTACCATTCATCCAATCGATTTTATCATTCAATTGCAAAAACTGTAAGAATAAAGTTTCAATATTATTATTAGACTTTTGCAACTTATTTGAACAGGTGAATAATAGTACTTTTAAATGGGTATAAATAAAATAAAAAAACAGTTTAATTCCTTTATGAATATTTTCGATTTTATTATTACATTGTGTTTCGTTTTCTTTATTCGTGTTTTATGCATGGATGAGCTTTAGTAATGCAACATCCGATCTGTATTCTGCATTTCTGAAGTGCAAACTATCGAATCTCTTTGAGAATATCTTCCAGTTTCGAACGACAGTCAGAGATAACATGATGCACACAGTCGTCGGCATAATTCTTGATCTCGATCGCTTTCAGATGCCCGCCTTTGTGCGCCTGGAATGCTTCCAGCAATTGAATTTTCAATGGATATACGTCGTTGGTTATAATATTTTTTGTGCACGTTAGTGTAAGAAGTCCTAAAAATACATCATGCAATAATTCATTTTGCTTAGTTTAGGAAACATTCGCATTACCATTCTTTTTAGTGCAATTGGACAATTGCTCCATCAATTTCTGTCCCTTTTCAGCAGCGTTACCAGCAATTTCATTCACGTGCTCTGAACTAGTTTTAATATCCTTCTTTACTTTTAGATTGCATCCACTCATCGACTTGGCCGAATCTTCCATTAACTTCTTGATGGTATCACCCAGAGCAGATTTTATTTGCACAGAGTTCTCGTTCTCCATCATGAGCATTTCTGAAATAGCTCAATACGTGAACGGTGTGACCCTTTTCCGGATTACGCGTGAAAATGCAAATGAGGTGTTAACTTTGATTAAAACATAATTAAAACGAAATGGAGTGAAAGTAAATTACTCAGTAGAGCGTTTTCCTCCATCATCTGGAGCATTTCCTCCCCGCGGTGGACCATCCGAGCGACGTCCTCCACCACTGCCTGATTGGTTGATTTACCCTCTACCTTTATCATATCCTTGAACTCAATGAAGATCTCATCAACAGTCTTTAGCACACCGGTAAGCTCCTGCTTGGTGGGTACACCAGGGATGTTTAGAAGCACTGGAGGAGGCGGACCACTCAAAACATACTTTCAAGGCAAACCAAAACAAAACATAAATTATTTTGGAGCTATATCTACTAAATATCAACATTCAAGGCAGTCAATAATGTATTGTTATCATTGAGGATTAGATTGTATTCTCGGTTTGATATTATCAACCGAGACGGCGTTACTTAACAGCCATTGGATATTCAGGTCGGGGAGAAGCTGGAATAACAATTTGGCAGATAAGCTATAAGCAAATATGTACTTACCCCAAACAATACTGCGGTAAGCACCAACACGGAAGACATTATTGTGTAACGCATTGTACTAAAGATATTCAGATGTAAAGATTTATTTCACGTATAAAACGCTGGAATTGCTGCGTAGCCCCGGGAATAATTTATATGGACATAAAATAAATGAACACTTTCGAGTACGCAAAGTGGTACTAAACGTATTCAATAAACAAAAAGCCGTATACTGCAAAAATATTAATTGAATTGCGTTTATAATCGCCATAGGTCAGCAGTTTCAAATGTAGGCGCACACAAATTTGTTTATTCAGTCGTTTTGCGATTATTTTACGAAATTTTAATTTCGCAATTATAATTGATTTAATATAGTCGATAGCAACTGCAATAAATTCAAAATCTGCATCGGAAAAGCTGCGCTCAGCATTAATATCGCAATCTAAATACTAGCTTTTTAAATATTTGCGCAGTAATGATGTAATATGCAAATTGCATAAAAATGTTTTCATGAAATTGCATTTGTCTTAATTTTAATTGGTGCAAAAAACAAAAAGTAGTTCCACACGACTTACCGGCAATTTCGAATCCTTTGAGCGAAGTGCAAACACGCCGACCGGGTATAAACCATAACCGGCGTTAGCAGTGCCGCCGCTGTTGCCACCTCCGACGCCGCCGCCGGTCTCGCCTTTGTCCGCCTCCACGTGCAACCTCTTCCTGGCAATCAGCGTGTAGTTGCCCTCGGCGTCTCCGTTCTCATCCATGTATACCATGTATCTATGTAATAACACACGCGCAGCATGGAATTAATTAAATCTCAAATATGAAGATAAGTTGGTATCATCTAGATTTTATATTTTCCAAGCCGAGAATGAAACAAAATATATGTTTTTAGATTACAGCGTTATGAAATAAAAAAAGTTGCCACAGAAATGTAATTTTAAATACAGATTTCCCGGAATGTTACGATACTTTAATTAAAAAAATATGACATCAAAGCCACTCACCCCATCGCGCTCTTGTAGTGGGTTCCCTTGATGCAATTAATAATAGCACTGCCGTTGCGCGTGTCACCGCCTTCATCTAAAATCTGCATCAAAGCTCTGGCGTATAAGTGAACAGCGTCGTACAAATATGCTGCCCCCGATACAATCTGTCAGAGAATTGATATTATCAACAAAAACTCAACGTAACAGCACCTTTCACATCTTTGTAGGTATTTTGCAGTAAGCTATCTTAAAGACTATATAAACTTTGCGCATAAATATAAAACAAAGAATAAACCTCGTCTTGAACGTTTCGTCAAACTGCAAAGCATAAAAAACATCTATGAAACAATTTTATGCGCAATTTCATTCTACGAATAATTTATTTACCGTTGTTCACTTTTGGAAAACGTGCAAGACGAGGTCATGTTTAACAATTACTCGTAAAGCTCTTCTTGCCCTTTTTCCGGGCCGATTTTTACTAGTTCAGCTTTTTCTGTTGGAGGGTCGAAAGAAATGTGCATAAAGTAAAATAAAGCGCTTACGATTTTGCCGGCGGTGACGTTCAGGTGATTCAGCGGATTCGAGAAATTGAACGGCGGTTTCTCCAAATAGGTATTCACTTGCACAGTAAAATTCTCAAAACCGACAGGACTCGACGGCACGACGCCCAAGTAATGACGGAATGCTTGCTGCGCCGAAGGGTCGGCTTCTTCTGTGAGGAAGCCTTGAAGATACGTTGCTGGATTCTTTTCGTTGTATTCATCTATGTCTACGCCGACAACAAAATATTCGCCTAGCAATGCAAACAATCAAGAAGGTAACATGTGAGTAATAGAAAATCTAGAAAAAATGTGTATTTTAACATTTTCCGGCAAACAGAAAATTTCTTGAAAGACTTGTTACTCAAGTGCAAGATGTGTGCACACAAAGTGCTCTGCGGTTTTCTGCTAACGCAAAAAGACGACGTTGGAACATCCTTCGGGATTTTTCTAAAATCTCCTACATACACAGACCACTAAACCGTATGTTACGTTTACTTCCTTTTATACAGGATCATCATTTACTTTTCTCGTCAAATTTTCCGAGAAATTAAATTGTTTTCGTTTGAGAATATTCGTTACATTTGATGTGTAAAGAAAATCTTATATAAAGGGACTTTGTGCATTTTTTGTTGTTTTGTATCGCAGATAAGCGACAGTGATGAAACGTCCTCCCGGCGCATATATTGTATGCAAAAACATCGTTATTCTCAAATGTGTGCACGTTCCAACACCCAAATCGTACCGAAATAATAGAATAAGCAAGCGAGCCAACATTTTTTATCGTTCTAAGCTGCTTACGCCAGAGACACGACAAAACGACCCACTTGTCACTGACTTTCTGACCCACCCTCTCGAAACGCATCGCAGAAGATGCAGTGGAATGCTCCTCTGCTTTTCTTATTGTTTGTTTTCTTGACGTGAATATAGGACACGAATGGGTTTCCTGCTGCGGTCTGGTATCGCGTAAATACATGAAACGGAGTGCTTTGTGTCGTCCGAAAGTAGAAACTTTCCTAGAGGGCCAATGGAACTTGTGATATTAGTTTGCACTTACTGGATGAATATTCAGAGCGTCTCGCGACAGTCTCTGATCTTGTCGGGGAATCTACATTTCCACTAGGGGTAAGTATCGCTTGATTGTTTGCGTCTGGTGTTTGTTTGGGCGTGAACTTTTGTGCGTCGACGACGGATTCGGGGACGCTTAAACATTTTTGATTGATTGCAGTGCAATGCAAACATGATCGAAATGTTTTGGGCATGAATGTCACGCAGCTCGTTTGATGGAGTACGCAAAATGTTTCATCTTTAATATATGTAAATCATGCGTCGATTAGAAGTTGGATATGGATGGAGGTTGATAAAGGCCATAGGCCATTTTCGGAATTTACGCACAGTTTCAAAAGCGTAATTAAACTGTTAAAGGGAGTTTCTATACGTATTCTATCAGCGTATATTCTATCTGAAAAGCTGATGGATTTATGGCTCCAATAAAGAAATATTCTTAGATTTTCTCAAGGGAGATAAAACACACATTTAAATATGTATGATTCAATGATTGCGCAATTTCATTCATATTCATGACCAACGCTTGTTTATGTCTTCCGTAGACAAGCAATTCCAAACAAGCGCCCGACCCAGACAATAGATCGTTCACGCGTCGAATGGCCAAATAGCGAAATTCCTAAATAGCGAAATATCGAAATAGGCCATATGTGCGAATTGGTGTGCGAGTTGGACTGGAAGCGAAATGACTTGCACGCTCACGTTCGACCACAATGATACAATGCCGATACGTTTGCAGAATCCTCACCGAGGTGCAATCGGGTTTCCCGTCTGCGCTCACAACCAGAGTAGGGAAACCGTTGACAGTAACCATCGACACAATGAACTATTGGCTAGATGATATATTTTCCCGGGGTTTATTTTCATCTGCCTTCTTTATATCTCTTCCTCTGATACCTCCTTTTCACCGCGAAGCTGTGCCCTTTTATTCTTTTGTATAATTCTGCTTGCTGCTCCACTAATCGGCTATGATGACTGAAAATGTATCATGATAATAATAAGACGTTTAAAGAACTGCTACTCATTCTTTTAAATTAAACGACTTTTAACCGTTGACAGCCCCTTAGATAAATTCATTTCTTCCTGTCACCACCTTCAATGCATAATTGCTTGAATTAAGAATATATTAAAATAAATTCTGCGTTGCTTTTCACTCCGTACTGATTACGCGTAAGGTCCTTATCCTTCATTTCATTTCGCGCACAGACGCTTTGCACTCGTTTTCGATGCGGATTTCATTTGCGCCTTAACGTAATCCAATTATATGCCCGGTTAATCTGATGAAAGAGCGCAGCCTTCAATAAGCTTTAAACTTTTTTCGCTTGCATTTCGACTTCTTTTCCGCGCCCGCTGGTTTATCTGTTTGGGTTATTTCCCGAACCACACAACTTCCGCGCTTGTTCAGCCCTCAGGACCAGCTTCTATGCAAACAGATGTGCTATGCGGATATCTTGAATAACAATAGGCATTAACTTCTTAAAGAATATTTATATTCGTTTGTGAGGGAAAAATTTCGCACGCAAGAATGAAGCTAAAACTTTTCAATTTCTTAACTTTTTTTTCTTCGCTGTTTATCTTGTAAACGAATACCGACCGGTTGAACGCGTCTGGATCTTCGAGTAAATCTCATGCAAATTCCTGCGTTTTTAAAATTCAACTTTAAAAGTTGGAGTCTTTTAAACTCTGATATTGTCTTTATTTTTTTAGCTAAAATTAATTGCAATACCTAGAAAATTGCGATTATTTCGTAAACTAGGTATATGAGACAGAAAGACACGGATTGTAAATTATTAATCAACGGCAATTTTTTAGAAGATAAAATATTTAAATCGGATATTAAAGATTAAAAAAAATATTCATAACGAAAAGTGCATAGATCTACTAGTATTCCATCTAGTAACGGAATAAAGTTTGTATTCCTCAACGTGCTATACGCAGCTCGTAAATAGCTTTAAGCGGTCGTTAACACCTTTATATCCTGAGACAATTCGATGATTAATCGACTTAACTTCGGACTAATTCCACTCACCCTTCTCAAACAGTTTCCGCTTCTCCATCGCAACCATAAACTCCAAGTGTTCGTAATGATGGCCCAGGATGACGTAAACTGTAAAACGAACAAAAAGCGGCATAAATAACGCACCAAAGAGGGGGTGCAAAGTTTTGTTCTTGAGTTTTATAGAAATTCCCAAAGATATACGATCAATTTATGTTCGGCAACGAGCAGAAGGATTGTTTTTACTGAGTACATTGAAAGACGATCCATATCATCTGCTCCAACATTCCCATATAGTTTTATGATACCTATACCTACTTATTGATATTTTTATTTTACGGAAACTTAAAATTTCTTTACATTTTTCGTTGTAGTTATTGGTTAGTACTTTAATGCTACTTTCTGATAGCTATTAAATTGGTTTCCTGTTTTTATTTTTTCCACACGAAACTGTCAACGTTGTCGTCGGATTTGTGATTTATGTTTTCTTGCCCTTGTTTTTCACTGAAGCTGTCAATACAATTCCTAATCCGAAAGTAATGAATCATGCTGCTAGCGATAACAGCTACTAGAAAAATGTTGTCTACATATGAGTTTTTATTAACTTACTTCGTGTATCTTTATAAGTTTCTTCTACCAGCTGATGGAAGGGATTTTCCATGTTATATCCATTGACATGCATGTACGATTGACTCCAGGATCTGCTTGCAACAACATTCACACCAGCCGCCGATAAATATTGGGGAATCACTCGTGCAATATTGCCGTATTCAAAATCGGATGGGTTTGGTGAATTCAAATAGAGTAGCACCACCTGTCAAACATAAAAATGTAATGCATTAATCAAATTAATAAACGGGAGTAAGCAGGAAGCAGTTTGTAGCATAGGAAGTATTGAAATGCGAAAAATTCAGAATGGGCGCGATGCCAATCGACGCTTCTTGGATATTGTAACCAGAGTAATACTATAGTGCAACCCCTCAAATTACCCACTTCGTTAATTCTAACTGGTACAATGTTACAATATGAATATGGGATGCAAATATAATTTATAGACTTGTTTTTTTGTCACCAGCTAAAGCATAAGACAATCCTTTTTGCTGCTTGTTTTCCATGCCGTTTCCAGTCATAGTGACTATCCTGATTGAAAAACTAAAACGACAAGAATGTAATGTTACCCGCTAACACAAAAGATTTTGCTACGACTGTGATATTTCTAAGAAACGATGCGAATAAATTTGCAAGAAGTCCGATTTTTTTCATTCCCAGACTCCTTTTTGACTTTGCAAATTAGAATCTGGTGTTTTCACATTAGATTTATTTATGGCCTGCTTAAAGCAGCTCTTTTCGAATTTCCAGCTTATGAACCAGTGGCACGGAACAAGCGTGAATGAAACAACACTGAGATGAATGAACTTTCGCAAACAAAGCATAAATTTTATTCGGGAATGTTTGGGCGATTCAAGGCCAAGGGTAGAAGGGCATAAAGGCACAAGGGCACAGGGACACGCACGAATAAATATGAAAATGCGACATAAAACACTAAAACTTACACTCGTCCAGTTGAAGTATGTGAGCACAGATGCAACCGACTTGGAGATTTGCGTGATCGGTGGTCGCGTTCGTGCGAAAGTCGGATATTTGCTCTTGTCCGAAGTTTCGTTGACCGTGCAAAACTGCAATGTCACAAAAAAGGCACAAATGTTAATCACCCATTTGTGTGTTGTGCTCATATTACCGTTGAACATAATAAAACAAATATGTATTTAATGACTTCTGCCTGCGAACGAATGCAAATGAAACGCGATAAATCAAGTGTCACAATAAAATGAACAACGCAAATAATACAAATGCGAGTCGTACGCGGAAAAGAACGATGCGCAACAAAATGATGGATAATTAATTGCTGAAGTAGCGCAACATGAAGCTTTCAATTGGATTAAAATGGTGCGCAATCTTTTCGGAAATTTACTAATTCATATTTTATTTGCTTGGTGTTGGTAGACTAGATTCATATTTATGAATATTTTATATGTAAAGCATATCAGGAAAGAATTTACTTCTTAAAGTCTCAGTCAATTATTTTCCTCGTGCAACTTAAGTCGCTCTCAGTTTGCGTATTTCTGCATCGATTGTTTCAAAATAAAATAAAATAAAACAAACAATACCTTCGATTGGTTTTAAAATTTATTATCGTTGTTTGCATCATTGCTGAACAATAGATTGTTTATAACGCTACATTTAATCCTTGAAAGCTAAGCGTTGGCAATTTAGAGCGATTTTTGTGCCAGAAAACTTTATATTTCACGTAAAAAAGTAATTTTCATGAAAAATGTATCTAAGCAATATTTATTTAGTTCCAGATAGCACAATCTGATTATTTTCGTAACATTCTTTACCAAGAAACATAGCGTAAAGTTACTTTGCTTCTAAAGGTTCTAAACATAGTCTTATTTAGTATTATGGTAGCTGCACTTGACGCTCGGTTTTAAAGTTCCCATTCGTAGTAAATTTGTGTCGCACGGGCTTGTGAACTTAGGGTGCGTTCGGGTAGTGAAACACTGTACACACATTGTGGTGAGGAATGAACTCAACGAACCCTCTGCTTGCCAAGTTCAATGGTTTCAACTAGTACGCTGATTATACGTTAACTTTAATGTTACACAAATTAGTCACATAACTCTACAAACAATTTGATTTTTTCTAGCTAAATTTTTGTTGATTTGATAGTGGTTTTGATAGTTGGTTTTAGTAGGTCAAATTTCATAAAATATTCAGTGATATAGATTTTCAATCAAATAACCCCGGATATGTCCCGATTTGTTGCTGGTTGTTCGAAAAAACGATCATGTTAGACACACATCATGATATTAAAGTAAATTTGTATTGTCCGGTCTTGACATGTGTTAATGCGAACATTGTGTTTGGAATTTCGTCCCTTCCACCTTTTAGCTTGAAATATATTACAATATCGCGTTTCGGAACAATCGCCACGTAGATGTGTCCACGTGCAACCTTCTTTTTGGCTGCTGCCCTGGCGAAACTTTCAAGTTGAAGGCAAAGTCAGACGCGTTGGGAAGTGGAGAAGTTAAGCATTGCGTGCACATAATGTGTTCTTATCGCCTTCGCCCCTTTATCGGCGGTCAGAAAAAGTGTATACGATGTACGAAAATGTACGAAATTACCGAATGGCATTCACGTTCTGAACGCCGAAGCTCGCTGTGAACGTGTGCCGAGTTCAAACTTCAACCCATAAAAACACCCCGTCGACAGGAGGGCAACTTTGAGGTTTTTAATGAACGTTTTTTTTATGATCGAGACGTTTCTATTCATCGCATTAATTCAACACTAAGTAAAAATGTCAAAGGTACAAGCGGAAATTTATATAAATTAATTTGTTCGAAATTATTGTAAAGGTAATTTTGCGAGCAAGTATTTTTTTATTATCAAAGTAGCAATTTCCAAACTTACGCTCGAATGAAATTAAACGAAAAGTGAAGCTGAGCATTGCAAATATCACGGGAGCAATGAAGAATTCAACCGTAGCATATTTGGGCACTTTATTGACGCTCAAACGCTGCGGCATTAATATTACATTCGGCGTGCGCTCATTGTCGACCCGTTGGAGGTCGGTGGCGGCATAATGGTCGCGCGCTGGGGCGCGTGCTGGTGGCGTTTAAACGGCACAACGAGAGAAAATCATCGACACGGCGATAACTCGATGGAATTATTACAAGGCGCGACGTGATTTATGTACGTGAACGAACGCAACAGATCATAAATTAGGTGATTTCGTTGATGACCACTTTTATTTGCGCTTGGACAACTTTCCCATGCGAGCTTTTTCTACTTCTACTTTGAGTTATCATTTGGAGTAGGAAAAAGTCAAAGATTTAATCTAAATGTATACGTATACGTCAACGTATAGAGTGTATTATGTTTCGTTCATGATATCAAATTCCAAGAATAAAAATAAAGTAAAAATAAAGAAAAACGGCGCCTTCACCATTTTTTGTTTCTTGTATAATACACTGTGGCAATTTAATAGAAAATAATGAAATATTTAATATTTACCATAAACCAATAATAAAGTACGCAGAATGCTAAACAAGCTTTATTACAAAAATACTTTTCCTCATAAACATATTGTCGTGTTCGCTTCTCTGAAGCAACTCTTCTCTGATATTTAATAATTCTAAAAAGTCAAGAATGTACGAGCAAAATACCAAGAAGTTAGTAAACACAGAAACAATATCAGCCGGTATATTTACTTCGTATTAAATAAATCCTTCGCATAGTAAACATATTTATTAAAATAAAAATTGTTTGATATTAAATATTTTCGTTGGAAATGCATGTAATACGAATATAATCACATACTTACATATGAAATCATTGGTAGGTTAAATGATGCAGCCATGTAAGCTTCATGCTCGCAGTATTCTTGAGGTCCAATGTAGACGGAGACGTTTTTCCTCCACAATTCTGCAGTTTGAGCAACGCTGATTTTTTCCTTGCCATAGGTCTCCGCGATGATGAACTCTAGTTTGTGACCACGGCGTCCTAGCTCGCCGGCGTTTACCTCTTCGACTGCGAGGGAAATTGCGCCGGAGATAGTGAGTCCATGCCGTTGGTATTCCTTGTCGTCGGGCAGACGTTGCGAGCCGGTGAGGTAACCCATTGTGAATACTTTGCATACTGAAGGGGCGATCAACGGGGTTAGAGTTATCAACTGGACCAGGATCCACATTTCACTGCGAATAGAAATAAAAATATTGTACATATTTATGTTTTAAAATACAATTTTGTTATTATATTGTAGTATATTTCCAAACGTAAGTTGATTACAGTTAAAATATTTGCGGTATAATGTTCCGGAAAATGTGAAACGCACACGTTTTCCATTTCGACATAAAACAAGCACTATTGTTTAATATACGAGTGCACGACCTAACGCGATCCTTCCTTTCTGCCGTTGCCCAATTCCGGCACGACTCTACGACGCATATACTCGTATGTGTTTCTTTATATCTTCGTTCGCTTTGCGGACGGTGCGAAACAGTCGCCGTTTTGTGTGGCGCTGTGAAGCATTTACATCCTGCTCTATAACATTCGCCATGTTTAAATAGAGACGGAAGCTCGCAAGCTTACATCACGACGTCGTTTCGAGTCACATTCGCAGATCTGATGTTTCATGCGTCGTGTCCTTCTTGCACACGCATTTGTCACTGGGATATAGCAATTCGTCAATGTTCACCGAGTTCTTTGTAATGTTCTGAGGCAATATACAACTACAACAGTAAAAAGTCTATTTTTATTATATATCAACTTTTGTGGTATTGTTTTTCTCACTGCGTTAATTATTACAAGAAACTTTATGATTTCTTTAATTCTGGTTCATAAAACAGCATAACGGATCCATCAAAAGTTCCAGACGTAACTACCCACTAGCTATTATTATTCCATTAGTGTCCAAACTGTGTGCCTCGATTGGTTTAATTCAGTTAACAGTTGCGTTTGGCGTTTTGACGTTTCCAAAGATTTTCACTTCCTGAATTGCGTCTAACTGAGATTTTGATTGATTTCATTTCAATAAGAAACCAGTTATGGAATCAATCAATCATTTCATACATTAATATACCACATCAAAGGTGGAGTTGCATAAAGAACTTTACTTATACAACACTTAGCTCACAGTATGAAACACCTTGAACGAAATATGTGGCCATAACATTCTTACGTCGTCACCGCCATCCGCAAACGGTTTCTTAATTGAGGGTACGCCAAGTAGCTATACTAGACTTGGGGTTTAACCCTTGTCTGGTAGTGGGTGCGCATTAGTTCTCGGAATGCGCGCCAGGACATTTTGCGCCGCCTTGTCGCTGACAAGACCTACCTCGGTGAAACGCAACAGGACACGTCGAGATTTCACTCAGATGCCCAGCAGGAGTGCACTTAATGCACCGTCATCAATACTTTTTTCCGTATATTTTCTTTTGGTACGATATAAGAAAGTAAAAACGTGTCAGCCACCCTCAAAGCAGGTTTGAATAAAGACAAAGATCAATTTTATAATTCAATGATGTAAAATCGAGAAAACAAACAAATCGTTAATAAACTCTCATAATAAAACCAAATGTGATTGAATTACAAACTCATCCCTTAGTCTCTTAAACCACAAATGGTTGGTTTGATTGTGAGTTCACTTTCCATGTGTTTCTTTTGTTTCCGTTTTATCACTCATGTATTTGGCGCGCGTGGAGCCTGCTTCAAAGTTCGTACAAAGTTCCTGCCAGTCTTCATCGGCGTATCGGCAAAACTCAACTTGCTGCCATTTTGCGTCAGAGACTTTTTACGACCTACAAATGTATCGTAAAACATCAACGACATCATCTTCCCTAGCGCCCTCGATAGGAGATGCGTGTCGTTTTTCATGACTAGAGAATAGGGTAGGTTGGGAGTTTGGTGTTTTTGTTTTCTTTGGGTTCATAGATAAATTCTTCAATGTGGTCAAAGTCTAAATCAATGAATGTAGGAAGTACGACAACGAAAAACTTTTCAAAATTGTGTTAAGACGGTTCTGTTTCGTTTTTCTTAACGCACGACCAGCCGTCAAACGATCGGTGAACAAAAAACACTGACCAAGACCAAGTTTCCAGTTTATTCACCCCGACATGTTGGGAAAATATTCTTCCGTTTTGCATCCAGCATCGCGCGAATAAAAGCAATCTGCATACGCTCTCATGTTCCGGCCTGAAAAGAAACATAAAAATCTAAGCAGGCGTGACACATGAACGAAGGGCGAGTCGTAAACGTCAGATTTTTCAAAGATATTCAAGGTCACATATATATTAGTCTCTGCCCTGCACGTTATAATATCATATAATGTAGGGGTTGCGTTGCAGGCGCGAATAAAGTTTCGTCCGGAACCTTGAAATCGTTTTATGGACGCGACATATAAATATTCCGAATGGGGGAATCGCGAAAACAAGCTAGTTTCGAAGATTAACGGATGTTCATAAACAATGCATAATTATTGGCTTGTTTTTTCTTTCCTCCGGGCAGAAAAAAAATTGTACTCTATCAATATGATAAACGTACAGGATTAGTTTTCAACAAAAAAAGCTTTTATCCCAAACAGCTAAATATTATCAATATTATACAATACTTGACCTTTTGCCAGAAAATACTCAGGATAGGTTAGCATCTGTGTCGGTAATATCTTCTTCTGTTTCATAGCGAGGCATATGTAATTAACGAACATAGTAATTTAAGCACATCCAAGATGTGTATATATTCAGTTAATACATGTGTCAAATCAACCTACTCGTATGTTACATAATATTGCACTTCGCAACGTTTCAAGAGGTAGTAATTCCTCAACACCAAAATTCCGAGACGAGAGAGCTTGGAATATGCGTTAAGCTCATTGTGGTCAATCGTGGTTCGCATTGCATCGGTTCAATTTCCTGTTTCCCATTGCGAGAATGCAGTTCCGATAATTTCAGCACTAACTACATTAATTACACGGTCATACTTTCAAATAGGAACATATTGATCGGAATTCCAAGCGAGATTATTTGACGTATAATGGATTCGATGAAGTTGCATACATAAATAATGCTTGGAAATGTTACATGCAACATGTTTCTCACTAAACATTTGTGTATCATGTTTAATCTCTTTGCGGAGCGCTATGTGATGCGTTTCATCTCTTTGTAGGCTTAGTATTCACCATACGGTGAATAATATTTGATGAGGGATAACATGTTACGTACAATGAAGTGCGTAACTTCGGTTTATTGGATGAAGTAGATGACTAATTGAGATATTTGCATTCAAATTTGAGATATTTGAATCCATTGCTTTTAGTTCAGAATTATATTAATTAAGCTGCTCGACTGTTAATTAGAAAACGTTAATCAGAAACACAAAACGAACACCCGCATAAAAGCCACTTTATAATTACGGTATATTTGGAACATGGGTATTATAACGAGAAAAAAAAAAACGAATTTAACGAAAAGTCGTATCAATTTACGAATCTAGCAAACGTTTTTGAAAACATTCGCAGTCAAAACACCCCCATGATATTTACGAATATGCGGGCGCGACATAAATAGATTACACGTTTTGTAATCGAGCTCGAGTTTTTCGCTGCTCTATTTTGCATTGTGGTGTTTGTCATGTGCTCGCACGTAATACGAATTTTAAAATCCACAGCCGCCGCTCACATGCTGCTGAATGTTATTGTATACAATTAGTGTAGTGCTGGAAGTAAGCACCGCGCATGGCTGAATTTTGTTCGGCTGTAAAACCTTTTATTGCACCGTGGATTTTTCGCTGCTGCGAAATAATCCTTGTGTGAACTGTAATCAAATTAAAAGAGACATTTACTTAACCATAAATAAATAGAAATTTTACAAGTGTGTTTAAGATTAATGACGTTTTAAATTTTGCCCTGAATTTGATATTTGAGTGTGCGAGCGGATGATTAATGAATTTATTCGATTTGTTTAGAGAGTAAAACGTAAAACAGTTAAAAACTCGTTCATCGATTTCCTCTGGCAATTCCACTATTCAGAATTGCCATTCTAAAGTAGCTAAAAAAGACTACAAACTAATGACGCAATTAAACTATTTTTAAGTACGTTGACGCCAAATTACAAAACAAAACAAAAAGTGTTTAATTTGAATCAAATTTTTTTGAGATGTACAATTCTGCTTATATTTTTTAATAATTTCTGGTTGTATCATTGCAATTCTATCAAAGCGGAAAACGCTAATGACGTATCGCTTTGCGTGAAATCAAACTTCACTCCGTGTTGATATCAAAATTGAACTGACAGTTCAGTTAGGGAATGGAAATTAATCCAATATACGTGGAAATGTATCGCATTGATTTATGATTACATTGGCCAGGTTGCAATTTTTTAGGGATTAAACACATTTTGATTGTAGTTTTTCATGCTTAACTAAAAAACTAAATAGTCTGCTGGAAGCAAGAAAAATAAAATTTTAATAAAAAGGTGCTTTGAATTCAATTGCCGTGTCGTCAAGTTGCAATTTCTATCTTCACGACCTAACACAATTGTTTCTCACAGTTCGTTCACACCTCTAACATTTACCTGCGTCTCTATAAATAATTTAGATAGTTAACTGAATTGAACAAGCGTTCGAAAATTTCATTAAATATGAAAATTCAGCTTCAGTTATGTATAATAATGGTTTAAATATTTAAACTAATATTTATCGGACCGAAAACATTTAAATTTCAATTAGTTTTTGACCATTTGCTTGTTATTAGTAAACTCGGATGCATACTGTGTGCATATGAGGTGCATACACCGCAAGCAATTTAATTAAATTCAGCAGTTTAATTTTGATTAATTGAGATGTGCGAGTCGGTTATAATTACGGAGTAAATTGAAACGTATTCGTCATGAATTTTGTTTGAAGCAGATAATTTGTACATGTGGCAAATTGTTCAAGAGTAGAAATTGACGTCTCGTTTTACGGCGTCGATTTTCATCGACGCGAAAAGAAAGGAAACGAGGAAGCGTCGAATCAAATTGACTAGATATATGGTAATGTTTAATTAAATCCGAACCTTTTCCGGTCGACATCTTTCGTTTTTCGCTCGCACGCTATCGTAATGTTTTAGATTTCATGCGGATGAAAATCGGATTAGCTCCTTTTAAAACTTTTTTTTGTCAATGATCAATTCCATATAATCTAAGTTTTAGTCGCCTTTTTTGCATTTCATATATCGAGTCCCGCTTTGAGCTGGCCGGACCAGTCTATTATTCCTACCTTCTATTCACTTTCTTCATTACATTTCATGATAACCAACAGACCGTTCGGACCGTTTTATTCGGATTGTTCAGATGGCTTCAATCGCTTTGGGCGGATCGTTTCGGCTCTGGCATTCTACGCAAACGTATGAACTGTTTCGTTGTTCATTCATGATATTTATATAAATATGAATGATTATTCAATAAAATAAATATTATTTTTATATCATAATTTGTTTAAACAGCCGGTATTAGAAAAATTACTTATGTTTAACAAAAAAATGTTTATAAAACTACAAGCTTCAATAAAAGTTAATTATTTTGATAAAATCTAAAGTAAAATAAATATCGTAATAAAACGCATGTTGACACATTTATTTAAATTAGAATGGCGAAATAATTTTCTCATCAAACCATGAAATGTCAAACGACATATTGCTACAGATAAATCAATTTTTTAACTCTAGAAACGTTAAATTTAAAATTAGTTTTTTTAGATTTAAACGTAGTATGTCGAAATCGATGAATTAAGCATGAGTAAATAAACTCAGAGGATATTATACTTAATGACAGGAAGTCAAATAACTCAAGGCAAATTTAATCCAATTCAAGTAAATATTAGAAACTGTAACTCACCTTTATTTTACATCCATACATTGAAAACAGTAACTTTTAAATGTTTGAAACACACGCCACTCAAAAGTTAAGTTTAAAGTTTATTGTCATTAATACTTTCGTTTTATGATTATCAAATTAAACTCATTCGTGAACGTTGGCCGCGTGTGTAGTGCCAATCGAACGGAAGCGCGCCTATTTTGTTTATCGTAACGGCATACTTTTTGCGAAATTATGCGATCTTACATTCAACACAATAAAACGCTATCAGTGACAAATTAAAATAAACAACATACGCACGGCGAAAAATTTGTGTGTATAAGCGTCGCGATACGTTAACCGGCGTACATATACTAATAATAAACGCACGCGGAAAACCGAGTGGATGCCGGAAAGGAAAACGTGGAAGACTGGAAACGCGAGCGCGAACGGTCAAAATCGCGCCGCGTTCGCACCGCGACTGAGCGCGCGTCACGACGGGCGAGCGTATAGCGTCGACTGTGTGGATTGTCCACGACTGATCTTCTGCTCTAGGTGACTCTAGGCAGATATTTGTTGCTACAATGTTTACTAACAAAATATCAACTCATTGATTTACAATACTACAGAGTTTAGAACGCAACATGTTTTAAGATTTAAATAACAAAGAGAGAATTGTCTGTAAAGATCAAACTTGTAACTTTTCTTGTTTTATTTGAGCTATTGTTGCGTGCCGGCAATTATGGTAATTTTTTGCTGAATAATTCTACATGAAATTTACTAATTTTATAATGAATATTTTATAGTAAGTGATTAATATATTTTTATATAATTCATAATATATATTGATTAGTAATATAATTGTTCACTATTGTTGAATTAAACATGCTACCAGACAAATGCATCCACTGTTGTTCACCTTTCCTCATTTGCATAATTGTAATTATGACATTGATGCACAGAATTCTATGATTGAAGTGCGCGCATATGAATATGAAGTGCATAATTTGCAAAATTTATTATTAAATGTTCAGAGGAGTAATTAGAGTTGTGATTAAACAGAAACGCAATTAAATTTTAACATTTGCTGAAAAAAGTTTCATGAATTTCGTCAAAATGTTTTCTAGATTAAATTCGGTCCACAACAATATTATTTTTAGCAAGTAATATAGAAATGCGATTTTCAAAAAGAATCACTGTAAATTGCTTTCATTGTATACTCAACGTTTCAAACAATCGAACATACTAAATATATGCAAGTATAAATAATCAATAAAGCACCTTTAAAACATTTCCTAATTTGAATTTATGCAAAAAAACTGCAAGAAAAATATTCAAATGAGGTGAATGTTCTCATACATCATACCTCATACATCATTTTCCAAACGCTATAGTTAGTTTTATAGGCCGCTGCCATTACGTGTTTAATGTATAGCTATAGTCGATGTTCGGTTTATGCGGACGAGCATGGTTTTCAGGATGTTCATGCACTCCTTTTCTTATAGTGGCATTAGATACAATTTATGACTTTGTACGTTCATAAATCATAGTGGTTATTTTAATTCAATGTTGATTGAAAACTGAAATAAGTCAAGAAAAGATTTAGTGATACTTTAACATAGGCAACTTTACAAAATACACAGACCAACATGAAGAAAACTGTTGTGGATAATATTTTCAAGGACAATTGAACGTTGAAAAGTGCCTATAGCACTTCCGTACAGATGGCTCTTCATGTTCCGATTTAGTATATTTCAAAGCATAGAAAGATGTTACAAGGTTGTGAATTCTATTTTGAATGTCATGAAGATCTTAAAACTTTGAATAGTAATTTCAAGGACAATTGAATGTTAAAAACTGTTTTAGAACCAACGTACAGATGGCAGGCTATGTTCGAATTTGGTATATTTCAGGCCATCGAAACATGTTTGAACATGTTCACCACGTTTTGTTTTGAATGTGATGACGGTCACGACTGTCATTGATATCAGCAGTTCTAAAGAAACTTCTATAAAATATAAATATTATTGAAAAATACTGCAATACAATCACATAATTTTGTAAGACATCTTAATAACTATCAATATGATTAATGTGTTGACTGAATAATTAATTAGAATTATCATGTATCTAATTATATAAATTACTCCATCAATTCTAGGCGGATATGTTACGAATTCTGAAAACGTTATGTTATCAACTTAAATTTGTTTTTCGTAGACACAATAACACACCAAACTAACCATTTTCTATATAATTATTTATTTAATTACGCGATTAATAAATTATAAGGCACGACTTCATGGGTAATCACCAGGATAAACAGTTCTTTGCCTCAGTTTAATATGATCGTGGTATTGACCAACGTGTCAAAATGCCTTATTTTTTTGTTTCTCTTAATTCACATAAAAGAAGTAATGCTACTAAATCCTTTATTTTTACCTCAATCACACGACGATTTGATAAATGATCATCTTGAATGTTTGCATAAAGTATTGGCAATCTACGAACTTGAATTTACAATTGTTGGCTATGACCATTTAGAATATTATGATCCATATATATTTAAAATAACTGACAACAGACAAGTCGTAACTCTAAGTTTAAACCAAAGTGTTAAGATTGATCCTGTTGTCAGAATCGATGATGCTGTATTTATATCAGACAGTTTGATTGTGCTCAAAGATTTCTTTACCAAGTTCCATGAATCGAGGTTTTTCAACGAAAACTGCAAGATTTTCATAATTTATCATGGTGCGGAACATCCCAATAAAATTATGGAAATGGCATCGGAGATGTTTTCGTTTCGTTTAGTGGTATTCGACAAACATTTCAATATTTACATTCCCAATCTAATCTCGGATGATAATTGCAAGATGACCACAATGAGAATGCTATCGTCATGTGACGCGGATAATAGGCGACTTGTGCTGGAAGTGGCTAAACGCAAATACAGAAACTTTCATGCTTGTCAAATGAATGTTTTAACACGAGTATACGAACCGTACGTCATCAATCTTAAAGATAAGGTCAATCCAGGTATCGAACCAGTCGTGTTGCAATATTTTGGTGATCAACTCAACTTCACTATAAAGTATGTTGAACACAATTATACTGAAATGGGAACTGTCTTTGAAAATGGAACACATACTAATCTTTACTTGGCACTGAAAGAAGGAATTGGAAATATAATGATTGGTGTTGTGCACAAGCAAGAATTTCGAGACTTTAGTGAAACTAAACAGTATTTCCCGACGGATTATCGATTTTTCATACCGAAAGCTGAAACGATTGCACCATGGATGAATCTTGTATTTATATTCACACCTTATACTTGGTTAATTTTAATCAGCAGTCTTTGTGCATATTCCCTCTTTTATTATCTCTATCAGAAAGCTATAAAATATTTTAGCAAACGTCTTCTGATGCCTCCAAGATACATTAAAAAGCGAGTACATGAAATTACATTATTGCAAAGTTTTCTAACCTGGTACAGCATTGTTCTTGGAGAATCAATTCCAGCTCCAAAAGTGACCGTCAATAGAACTTTGTTTATTTCATGGGTTATAGTTGCTTTTGTATTTACCTGTTCTTTTGAAACAAAACTCTTGTCATTTCTGCTGAAATCTGTGTATGAAAAGCAAATTAAAAGTTATGAAGATATTGCTGACTGCGGTTTGATCATCACTGGTAATGATTATGCCAAGGATGCTTTTGCTGAGAGTTATGGTGATCCAAGCGTTGTTAAAATTTACAACCGTTGGACACCGAGTAAAGTAGGAGATGGTTTTAAGACAATTGTAAACGTTGCAAAGAAACGCGACAGAATTTTAGTCTCGAATAGTCTCAGGCTTGCGTATTACTTAAAAGATGGGCAAACTAAAAACACATCTATATTTCTGATCCAATATTAGGGTTTTACTCTTCTATTTTATTGGAGAAAGGTCATCCGCTAAAAGATGCACTAAATGTTTACATAACAAAGTTTTTGGAGTATGGAATTTTTGACGAAATTACCAAGCAAATTACTCAGTATTATGTGAACGATGCACATTCGAATTATCAACCAATACAAATGACACATGTGCTTGGGGCTTTTATTATATATATAATTGGTGTTACAATTTGTATAGTTGCGTGTATTGTTGAAATATTGGTAAAAAAGTGCCGATTTGCAAGTTTTAAGTGTTAGTAATTATTAGCAAACAAATAAAACAATATATAAGGCAATAAATTATTATTTTTAGATATACTACAAAGAAGAATTGATAAGCCTAGTAACAAAAGTGATTTTGTTCCTGTGTTTATTTTAGTGTTCAAATTGTTCCGCCCTTAACATTCAAGTGACTTGCAAAAACATATTTTTAAGAAGTTTGTTAAAGTCTATTATTAGAAACACAATAAAACATTAAAATTAATAGTTACTACATAATATGACGTCTTAACTATATCACACGAAATAGATTTAGTATATTTCAGTTTATGATGATCGAGTGCACGATCAACTTGTCGAAATGTTTGGTTTTATTTTTTCTAATATATTTACCAAAAGTACAACTTATAAATCCGTTATTTTTACCTGAATCATACGATGATTTAAAATATAATCATCTTGAGTGTTTACGGAACGTCCTGCGTGTCTATGAATTGGAATTTACACTTGTTGCTTACGATTATTTGGGATTCTATGATCCAGAGATTTTTAAAATGACCGACAACCGTCAAGTCCTGACTTTGAGTCTAAATCAAAGTGTTAATATTGATCCTGTTATGCGAATCGATGATGCAGTGTTTATATCAGAGACCTGGGCTGTTCTGCAAGATTTCTTCCGCAAGTTTTATGAATCAAAACATTTTAATGAGAACTGCAAGATTTTCATTATCTATTACGGGTCTCGCCATCCTAATGAAATCATGTCATTTGCATCACAGATGTTTTCGATTCGAGTTGTTTTATTTGATAAACACTTCAATATTTATATTCCTGAGTATCTTTCGGAAGACAATTGTAAGTTGACTACCATGCAAAAACTGCCTGGATGCGATGTACATAGTTTGGACCTTATTCGGAACATAGCTACACATCAAATAATGAATTTCCATTCTTGTCCAATAAAAATATTAACACGAAGATACGAACCGTATGTACTAGATGTTAATGATAAGGAGAAACCAGGTATTGAACCGGCAATAATGAAAATGTTTAGTATGGAGCTTAACTTTACTGTACACTATGTGAAACATAATTATCTGCGAACGGGTTATGTCTATGAAAATGGAACTCATACTGGTCTCTACTTGGCATTAAAGGAAGGCGTTGGTAATATACTAATGGGGATTGTGACTCCTCAAAAGTACAGAGACTTCAGTGAGACCGATACTTATTTGCCCACAGAATACAGATTTTTTATTCCCAAAGCAAAACGGATGCCACCATGGAAGAATATTGCTTCGGTTTTTACTCCAACTACCTGGTGTTGTTTAATAAGCAGTATTTTTTTATTCTCAATTTTTTATTATTTTTTTCAACGTATATTAAACAAAATCAGTGTGCATATAAAAATTAAACCGCATTACAATGGGAGACGTATACAATCAATCAGTTTATCCAGAAGTTTTCTGGATATGCTTGCTATAACTCTTGGAAAGTCGATCATGGCACCTAAAATCCCAATCAACAGAATTTTGTTCTTATCCTGGGTTTTAGTAGCTTTTATATTTTCCAGCAGCTTTGAAACCAAAATCCTGTCGTTTTTATTAAAAGCCATGTATGAGAAACAAATTGAAAGTACTAAAGACATTGTTGAAAGTGGCCTGATTATTTCTGGTAATGAATATGCTAGAGAAGCATTTGCTGAAAGTTATGGCGACCCATACGCTATTAAAATTTACAATCGTTGGATTTCAAGTGACATTGTCGAAGGAGGCATTTCGGGCGTACAAGTTGCTGAAGGAAAACAAATATTAGTATCTACAAAAGAAAGAATAGCATTTTTTATGAGAAAAGATATGGAGAAAACAATATATGTTTCTAATCCAATTAAAGGATTTTACTCTTCTCTTTTATTAGAAAAAGGACATCCACTAAAAGCTGGATTGAATGTTTACATAAAAAAATATTACGAGTACGGCATCTTTGATAGAATGACTATGTCAAGCGAACATACTCTTAAAACAGCGGCACATTCAAAATATAAATCTTTGCAAATAAGACATGTTTGGGGAGCTTTTATTATTTATTTTCTTGGTGTTTGTATTGCTACAATTGTATTTGTTATGGAAAAAGTATTATAAGTGTAATTGGGTTTCATTTAAGTGTTGAAAATCAATAAACATAAAAAAGAAATCTTTTCTTTGGCTAATATAAATAATTGAAGAAAATTGTGGAAAATCCAGGAAAATCAGTTGACACTTTTTGTTCATAGAGGGCCAGTTTTCATTTTCCTTTAGAGCTTTCAAAGTGAATTACGAATATTATAGCTGTCGCTAGTTGTGATACAGAATTGCAAAAAATCCCTTAACTTCCAAACCCATAACTAAAACCAATACTACTTTAAACAAGTATCCAATAAACGTTTCCCTAATTGCTCATAATTTAAATTCAGTAAAGTTCATGAACTTTATTAATTCGTTTGACCCTCAAAGCTTATTATTTAATTCTGAGCAATAATGTACAAAAGAATAGCCACAAAATAAGTGTCAAAAGTTAATAATTTTGTTTGCGTGTTATGAATACATAGCTTGTACAGCTAACAAATTATATCATAACCGCCGTAAACATTCAAGTAACTTACATTAATCATAACTTTTAAGATTATCAGGGTGTTCACTATATGAACCCAACGAATATAATATACACATTAACAATATAACAATACATAATGTAGAAAATTATGAGTAATACTTCAACCCTCAGTTATTTCCTCATATTTATTATTGAGACATAGCTTGTTAACTTGTAGACTGTACACATAATAATTTGTCCGAATTAACATTCACTACACGACAATATATATAATTATATGGTTAATAAAAAATTAGACAAGCCTTGTGTTTAGCATTGAACGTTATCCTACGACTTAGAGTTTGATAAATTTCAGTTTACTATGATCGGCTGTGTGTCCAACTTGTCAAAATGTATTATTTTATTCTTTTTATTAATTTATACACAAGAAGTTAACTTAACAAATTCGCTATTTTTGCCTGAATCTTTTGATGATTTGATTAATGATCATCTTGAGTGTTTGCATCAAGTGTTAGCAATCTACGAACTTGAATTTACATTGGTTGGCTACGACCATTTGGAATATTATGATCCACATATCTTTAAAATCACCGACAATAGACAAGTCGTCACTCTGAGTTTAAATCAAAGTGTTAAGATTGATCCTGTTGTCCGAATAGATGATGCTGTATTTATATCAGACAGTTTGATTGTACTCAAGGATTTTTTTACGAAGTTTCATGAATCAAGGTTTTTTAATGAAAACTGCAAAATTTTTATTATCTATCATGGAAATCGTCATCCCAATGAAATTATGAAAATTGCATCAGAGAATTTCTCATTTCGAGTGGTTGTATTCGACAAGCATTTTGATATTTATATTCCAAATCAAATCGCATCAGATAACTGTAAGATGACAACTATGAGAAAACTTCCAGCGTGTGATGCACCTAACAAAAAGTTAGTGGTAGAAATAGCTAAACAACAATATAGAAATTTTCACAATTGTCAGATAAATGTTTTAACGAGAAAGTACGAACCGTACGTTATAGATGTGAATGATGCGACTAACCCAGGAATGGAACCACAAGTTATGAAGCTTTTTGGAATTGAACTTAATTTCACGATCAATTACGTTAAACATAATTTTACTGACATGGGCTATGTTTTTGAAAACGGTACTCATACTCATCTTTATTTGGCACTGAAAGATGGTATTGGTAATTTAATGATTGGCATAATGTTTCCACAAAAGTTTGGAGATTTCAGTGAAACAAAAACATATTTTCCGACAGATTACAGATTTTTTATTCCGAAAGCAAAACGAATTCCTCCTTGGATGAATTTGGCATCAAATTTTACATTTGTTACGTGGATGTGCTTGATTGGCAGCATTTGCATTTTCTCAATATTTTATTATTTCTTTCAAGGAGTTCTCAATGATATTAGTATAAAATTTAACATTCCACGAATCTACAATAAAAGACGCATTAATAAAATTGGTTTATCACGAAGTTTTTTAGACGTGTTTGCTGTAACATTAGGAAAATCAATTGTTACACCAAGAATCACAATCAACCGAGTTTTATTCATGTCCTGGATATTATTTGCTTTCGTGTTTTCCAACAGCTACGAAACAAAACTCTTGTCATTTCTTTTGAAGTCCGTTTATGAAAATCAAATTAAAAGTTATGAAGATGTTGCTGAGAGTGGCTTGATCATAACCGGTAATGAATATGCTAAAGAAGCATTTGCTGAGAGTTATGGTGACCCCAACATTGTTAAAATATACAAACGTTGGACTTCAAGTGACATAGTATATGGTGGGGCGACAATAGAGATGCTTGTAGCACGTCGTGACCGAATTATAGTGTCTAACGATAGAAGAATTTCTTACTTTATGGCACAGGGACAGTATGACAATAGTGTTTATTCTTCAGCTCCCATTGTAGGATTCTACTCTTCAATTTTATTGGAAAAAGGTCATCCGTTAAAAGCAGGACTAAATGTTTACATCACGAAATTCTTAGAGTATGGTATATTTGACGAAATTACCAAATCTAAAAATCGTTATACATTCTCAGTAACACATTCACTATACCAATCAATTAAAATAGAACATGTTCTTGGTGCTTTTATTCTATATATTATTGGTACTATTGTAGGTATAATTATTTTTATCATGGAAAATCTATGGAAGTGTTTGTGAAATGTTAACATTTGCTATTTGAACGCAATATTTTTTAAATTTTAATTTTTACACAGAAACAACAATTAATTAAATAAAAACAACATTTGAAACATAAAACTTTATTGCAAGAATTCAAACAATTTGCAAACATTGGAATAAACCTGGTAAATCGCTTATTATTAGCTACTCAATGATATTACAGTTGCACAGAGTGTTTAAAGTCAATAAACTTGATGTAAATCTGAAATCAAATTCCCAGCTGCTACAATATTTACAATTATACGCACTGTTTGTTAAATTGTAAAGTTTTAATCAAACAATGAATACATTTGAATTACAATCAACTTCTCAAAGAGTATTGATATTCCAATAAGTAAATATTTACTTAATGTTGTTCCTTGTATAATTTTCTATATTTTAAAATACTTTTACTTGGAATTTTGTTAGTGGGTACTTAGTAATTGGGTTTCCCAAAGCTGCCAATTTTAAATAATTGCTTTAAATTTTGCTATAAATAGCACGTATATTAGTTCACACATTAATCCGTATCTGCAAGTTATAATACAATGCGTTTTACGTTTGTTTTGATCGCCGTTGCTTGTTTTGCATTTTGCGGTGCAAGACATGTAAGTGAAGGTGAACTTGAACACGTCCTTCGAAATGCTGGTGCCGATATGAGTCGTATCAATACATGGAAGTGTATTGTATACGAAGAGTCGAAATATGAAACTTCTGCGCACAATACTCAATCGGGCGATCATGGAATTTTCCAAATCAGCCAATTGTATTGGTGTTCCCTTTCAAATCAACCTGGTGAGTAAAATTTGATTAAGTTAGATTAAGTTTAATGCAAAGGTTAAAAAAATCGGAAGTTTATTGTAAATAAAATATTTTTGTCGTAAAGGTGGTGGATGTGGAATGACTTGTGCTTCATTAAGAGACGACGATATAACAAATGACGCCCGATGTGCAGTTCACATTTATAATGAAGCTAGATCACGTGGTCAAGATGGTTTCCAACCTTGGACAACTTACTCTCGTTGCCATTAGTTAAAATTTATCATTTTATATTGTGTCACATGTTCAATTAACAAAATGTAAATTCTGAATAAATTAAAGCACTTGGCTTTTAATATGTGAATTTAATTAAAGCAATTAATGATTAAATTACCACTAATCACCAACAATATTCGGCTTAGTATTGACGAGTTACACTAGAGGTGGTGGCGCAATACCACACCCCACGGCACACAATATCATTAACATAAACTACTGGAATGTCGATATCTACGCCCGATCGTGCTTGACAATACATACAGCCGGGGACACTAAAGCACCAGCCATGCAAAGCGGCGCCGTTCATCATTTGACCACTCGATTTTCCATTAAACGTTCGCTTGCCGCCACCGCTGTATTACGCCCGACATCGACACGAAGCATTTACTGCATTTGTTACAAAAACCAGTCGACCATTTGTCCGCATTTAAACCTCCATTACGTTTGCCATTCCAATAGTTGGAGATCGGCAAGGAAAGATTATTCCGCTCGCCCCCACATAGTTGGGCACATTCGATATTAATTTAGCATCAATTTAGTGTCTAAACTTTGTTTAATTTGAGCACGCGCTCGTTTTGCCGAATATTTGTGTTAATTAATTGCGTTATTACGTGTGATAATTAATAATTAAAATCGTTTGTTTAATGGTTCATTATTGCTTCGCGCTGAATAACTGAATGCAAAATGTGTATTGATTATTTTGATTTGATTCATTACACAAATTGCTAAACTTTGCATGCAAATTGAAGATAAATAAAATAATTTCATCAATTTGCCAACGTGTTAAAGTTAAGTAATAGTTGTAAATTTATTTAACATCCTGTTTAATCTTAGTGCGCCATATGCTTCATAAATAATTTTCCCGATATAAATTCGTTACACGAATTAGCACTTAAATAAAGTTTCAAATGCAGTTTCAAAAGTGCGCGGATGAATGAACTGATGAATTCATTCGCTTGGAGGATCGTTAAGAAGGCTAGGAAGAGAAACAACCGATAGCAAAGCGGCGTATCCTGATTCGTAGTTTTACCCAATTCGCATAGATAGCGCTACCGTGTCAATATCCTTTTTATTTTTCCTGAACTACTTCTTCGTATCAAATATCAAATTAAACTTTTATAATTTATTTGTATATATACATAGTTAATAAATCAAACAAACTAAATATATTTTAACATTTTATGATTTAATTAACATGTTTTTTGCTTTTTTGTGTTTAACTGCAGTATACGTACAGGCATTAAAAAAATGCTGACGTTATGTTTGCCGGAGTTTTTTTAGATGGAAAAAGTCAGCGGAGAGAAAGTTGAGCATTCTGTTAATATGCATAGGTTTTTGCACGTTGTTAGCGGAGAAATGTTCGCCGAAGAATGAGGTTTAATGCGAATTCGCCACGGTGGAAAACTCCCAACAAGCACCCGGGCGTCGAATGTCGGTTTTTTAATTGGCGCAATGCTCATTAATAAACGTGGAAACGCCGAGAATTGGTATTGGAGTTTGGAGGATTGCGGAATTATGTGCAAATGAGGAACGAAGGTTTTAATACGATGTTCATTGTGCGCGACGATCAAGAGTTATTTTAATTTTTATCGCTCGAAAAGAAAGAAAATATTTATTAGGAATAATATAATATTAATTTGAGTGAAATAAAAATATGCGGCGCAAAAAAGTTAATGTGATTTGTTCGGTCAATCGAAAAAATAGTGGAATTATTAATAGTGTCCTTTGACATAACAATTTTCCTATTATAGTTCGGGCGGCGGAGCTTTTGTAACGCGTTTTTGCTGCCCGATTCGTTTCTGACTGCGCGCACTATCATACGTTACATACTCTCGCGCGCTTTGCGGGTGGATATAGATATTGTGAAAGGGATCAAATTTCTTGTTTGACAACACAAAGCTTCTTACTATGTAACTTCCTTCCGTCCCATTATCTTTTCCCCATACGACAAAAGAAATCACTTTAGGGTTTCCTTAAAATATGACGTATATTTCTTTGGATATTATTATTATATATCTATATGTGCCATTCAACTTATGCGCGGCCGTTCTTCAAAACCCTGCGTGCGCTTCAGGAATGGACGATATCGAAGAGTTTAGCACCGTAACATACTTCATTCGATATTTTTCGTTTCTCGGCTCGATAATGTAATGGCGCATTATCGTAATATGAATGAACGATTTTCGTCGTTTCACAGTCGCCGAGCTTTCGCATGACGGCGAAAAATGCGCGTAAAAGCCTAAAATTGCTGCTGCAAATTCTCGAAAGTTTTGTTTCGAGTCCCCGACCGCCTTTTCTTTTTCGCGTTCGGTTCCTTCGCATCGATGAACTCAGCTCTTTGGAATGTCGGTACGATTTATTCGTGCTCACATTTTACGGTCAAATTTAGCGCAAATGTCAAAAAGTACAAATCATAAAATCGCAATTTAAAGTTTCTTATTGGAAAATTTTCAAAGAGATAATGATTCATATAACAATACTTACATATTATATTTCACTATGTTTCATTTTGATATCTCACTGAAGTCACGTTTATTCTGCACTTCATACCAACAAACTTGATAAATGCTTCCCGTTTAGTACAGTTATAAATAGAACGTGTCTTTTAATAAACAATTTTATCACATTACTAAGAACTTGGGAATATCCAATATTCATGATGAATAATACCTATCTTCATTCCTCACTATATAAGCCGTTGGCAGTTCTAATTGCTTACAGTATATTTCGACCCTGACTCAAAACAACAATGAAATCTACATTGAAAGTCATTCTCGCCGTAGCTTGCTTTGCTCTGTGCACTGCAAGACGCGTATCTCAGGGCGAACTTGACCAGGTCCTCCGCAATGCAGGCGCTACCCGCTTGAAAACGTGGCAATGCATTGTACACGAAGAATCCAGATACGAAACTAGTGCACACAACAAAGTCACGGGAGATCATGGTATTTTTCAAATCAGCGAATTATATTGGTGCTCCAAAACCAGTCGTCCAGGTTTGTTTACTTTAACCATAATATGAAGTCTTAAATGTCTTAAAATATGAGTGTTTAGGAGGAGGATGTGGAATGACATGTGCTTCATTAAGAGACGACGATATTACCAATGACGCGCAATGTGCAGTTCTCATCTACAATGATGCTAGAAGTCGTGGTAATGATGGCTTCCAACCATGGACAACTTATTCTCGTTGCAGAGGATTGTAAACACATATCAATGATTGATTTTTCTTTTGCCTCAATATATTAATATATCTTTTTGTGAATTCTTGTTGCTTTGTCTATTATTCACTCTTCTAATGTGTTCATATTAAAGTTCCGCCTTGGCTTAATTGAAATATTAATGGTATAATAGTAAAGTTGTCGATATCCTGAAAGTAAGTCCAAAGTTTAGCAGAAACCAGATGGATATACTGTTTGTAAGCAGAAAATAGAAACATTTAATGTACAATACTAAGTTTACCATTAAAATTGTCACTAAAATGTATTTATTCTTGGTTGTAGATAAACTTGGTTCGTATAAGAATTGATTAATTTCTTAGTGTCTCTTTTGTGATGTTTTGTTTTGGTACAACCGTAGGTATATCAGCTAAATCCCATCGGCAGGAGGCTTTCTCAGCTCGAAAAGTAAGTCTATGGTAGTAAATTGACGAATAAGAATGTGATAACCAGCGTATTTTCGAAAAGTTATAATTACCAGCTAATTAAGTTTAGCCGACTCGTTCGCAAGCCCTCCGTGCGGCACAGCCCGGGCGAGTTAGACGCTGTTGCTGCCGGGATGCCGGGCGACGAGCGATTTTCCCGAAAATTACATTAAGCCGACCCCCGAGGGACCGAAGGCCATAGACACTCTTGCCTGCACGCGGAGACGACGGAGGCGGCTGCCTAAACACTGCCGTAACACCGAACGACAACAACAACACGCGTCGCCCAAGATTTGTTTGTTTTTACTTTTACTTAGTGGCTCAAATCTAGAATCGCAAAATCGAAAATTAAACTAACTTTCCGAGAATTAAACTTTGAGATAATAAAACACCATTTTCAGGGGAACAACACATAAATAGGCAGACAAGTTATTTTTGATTGTCTATTTTTATATAAATTATTACATACGACTAATAACATTGAATTAATGATATATTCAAATTAATTATACGTATAAGAGGTTTCGGATGCTAATACAATTTAATTAGAAAAGGAAATGGCTGAATTCAGCAGAATGTTGGTACTAAAATACTCGGGGTGTATTTAGCGTACCAGTAACAGCTGCGGCGCGATTTTCCAACGAAAACTCACTCATTGCAATATGGCAATAATAATAATATCGAATATCGGCAAACGAATTTGCCAGCTTCGTCGCTTTTCACTACACGGCGCTATGAAACGCGAGTGTGGAATTGGAATAAATGCTTAAATAGATACTACAAATGCATGCGGTTTTCCAAATGGATTCATATGTTGCTATTTCTAATGTATTTTCCACCCGCGCACAATAAAGGCATAGAAACGCTTAGAAAGCAAAGTAAAAAAATATCAAGTTTAATTTGATGAATGTATTGAAAAGTAAATAAACTCTTTGTGTGTGTATGTGGCACGCCTTGGAATTTATGACGTTTGCAAGTAAGGTGGCGTCGAAATCCTCGGGTTGTTCATCGAAAAAGATGCGAGTGACACTCCTCGCTCGTCGGTGGTGATGAGCCCCAGCGCACAGTCGGCGCGCCGAGTGGCACCAGTCAACCGTGAAGAAGATAAATGAAATGTGCCGCCGCCGAACTCAGATAAGCTCGCAGACTTGACGTCATAAAAAAACCATCCGCCCGCATACATTGCAATGCACACGCACCGCCCTTGCGAAACCTCCGTCCGCACTATTGCCGCAGTACGCGTCGCGATATTGAAAGCGGAGAGGAACTAAGAGGTCTTTCCGAAAGTTGTAAAACGCGACGCAGGGCCCGAACCCGATGTGCGCTATTTTAAATAAAGCGCAGTCGATGTGCGAGATGCGAGTGCGTCACTGCTGATAAGAAACTAAAAAGAGACTGTAAGAAGTCGTTCAGTTGAGTTGCGACCCAACTAGTTTTCGTCCTTCGGTTTATGAAATGTTTCGACGTTTTCCATTAAAATGCTGCGTCAATATAAACTTGTGTCCGAATATTCTACAAAGGACAAAACAGACCAATTCAAAAGGTCATAAAATGCTCGTGATTTTTAAAATTGGTTTGATATAAAATTGCAAAAACTTATTTATGATCAGCATTTGATAACTGGTGAATTGTAGAAATGGTACGTGTTTAAATTTAGATCACATAGTATATTCTCATCCGAAATCATTAAAAATCGTCCTCTTGTCGGATGTGGGCGAGGATTCCGGACAGTTACACGGAGTCGTCGGAAAATTGAATAAAATAGTTGAGTGGCAGCGACGTTCTTTGCCGGGCTTTTCCTTCCGTTATGTGTCGGGCGCATGCAGTCGACGGCGGTTTGCACGATCGCCGAACGCATCTTCCACGGACACTGCGGGGGAGCATATAAAATATTGGACATGTCGATGTCTGAGACGTCCGAGATAAGAGAACAGCGAGCGGAAGATTTTAATCTTTTAGCTGTCACATTGAATCGAAGCGAGCGACACCGAAAAGCGGCTTGCGTTGCTGCTCGAGGCAGCCGTTCCCATGTCCACAGTGGAAAAAGGCGCCGCCACTGCCGCCTCCATCGCCTCAACCACCATTCGTTCGTCTTCATCACTATAAGCGTTGCGAGTGCCGCGTGCTATAATAGTAAGTGTTGTCTCGCCTGCTGTGTCCTACCGGTGCGAGAAAGGACACACGACCGAGTCAGCAACGCGCGTCCTTGGAAAAGGCAATCGCAGGACCGCCAATCAATTAGGTCGAAGCCGGGGCAGGAGAACGTTTTCCTTCCTTCCTTTGCAGATTTAATTAAGACTTTTGGAGGCGCAGCATTCCAGCCGACGCTTGACGCTCCCCGATAAGGACATCCAGGATTCTCTCAACTCAGTTGGATACTTTTGTAGTGCGCAAACAAAGAAATCATTTCTTTTTTACTCTGAGTTGTAATAAAAATGAGCATCTTGCATATTATTTGTTCGATTTGAAAACTCATGATTTTCTATTCTTCGATTTATTATCACTGGATGGTGGAAGGCGATTAAGTCGCTTTGCAAAGATGTAAGAGTGTGTTCACTTGGTGTGTGAAGCCGTTTGACAAACTCGCCTGTCGAAGTCTATTCTGACGGATTAAAAGTACCAACCCTCAGTTCCTATCGTCGCCCGCCTTCCAATTTCACAATCGTAATCGCGACGAGTAAGTTCACACGTACGAACGTATTTCGAACTTCCGCCTACGCGTGTATTAGTTCGCACGTATTCAGAGTGCTTCGACTTTCGTTCGAGTGGCAAGGGGTGACGAGGGGGCACCCCTTTTTTTCCCCACACACACTCACACCCTCTTAACACTCGGCATCAATACGCGCGCCGCCGGTTTCCATCGAATCATATAAATAACCGGCAGCTTTCAATGCCGTTTTCCACGCCGAAACCCAGCCCCGAACTTCATTACACACGTTCGTCACCGGTTTTCGTTTCGACTGCTTGGCGCGCCGCGCCCAGGTCTTATAATACGACAACGAGTCGACGACTGCGGCGGAAGCTTTTTAAAATCCAGTGCAAAAGAGGAAGACGAATGAGGCAGCGTTCGGCAGATAGGAATTGAAAATCGGCGCGCTTCTCGTTTCGAAAACGAAGGAGACGTATGTGCGGTGCGCCATCACTACACATTGCGTCTTAGACATTTTCAATGTAACAGAAACAAAAATTAAAAAGTCATGACTTTGCATCAATACATATTTTTTCTTTGGGGGTTTGTAATATGTACCTATAATCAATAAAAAGTGTCTGAGTATGGTTTATAAACGCAGTTAAAATGAACGGACCGAGAGTCTTGGAAAAAGTCATTATTTGAAACATATTGCGATAAATATCAATGAAGGAGCTTATTGCGGCCAGTAATATCGATGTGGCCATGTGTGTGTGCGTAGATGTGTGAGTTGCATCGCGTGGATCGGCCAAGGATATTATATGGGGTGCCATTCTAATAAATCGGGATCCGGATGGGCAATAACGCGGCCGCAGCCATTCCGCGAATCTGCCGCCGCCTGAAATATCACGCGACCTTTACGTTATCATAAAAGACGGTGACGCGCGCGGGGAGCGCTCACAGCCCTCTCGCCAGCGCATAATTGAATAAGTCTCCAAGTGTACGAATTTTTGACAATTTACCACTCTCGCCCCTGTTGTGCAAAGTGATTTTTTGTGCTCGAAATACAATGCATCAAGCCCGAGGCAGAAGCAGAGCTCGCGCAAAAAGCCGAAACAAATTAGACACGATGTTTTTAATTTAATTAAAAATTCTAATTCCGAGTTGTACAAGAATCTTCTCCGCGTAGGCACTGAACACGCAATGGTTTATTCTGAGCCTTGAGGATATTTTTGTCTCAAGTTTTTTTTTTCACGATTAACGCATTGGACCGCGTCAAACCGCAAAACCGCAAAAAGGAAAGTGTCATCTTTTCGGTGGAAATTTTGAAGTCGGTGTCTTGGGGGGAGCTCAACCCACCTCACGCTCATTGTTTTGTTAGCGACGTCTGCGTTTGTGCGCACATCGCGAAATCTAGTCGTGCCATTCTAAGTTGAATTATTTGCCGCCCTGCAGGCGTAAGGTCTCACACTCTTGGCAGGCGCACACCTGAACACCTTTGGCGCAAGGAAAAAGAGAAGACCTAAAACGACGCCGTGCGGAAATGCCTGGATTGTTTGTGTCTGCGATGTGTAAATACGCATTTCGTACGCGCCACGTATAGACGAAGTTTTATTTGACATTTTTTCAAGACCTCTTTTCGGCATTGATGCGCGTCTTATTTCCTATCTTGATTTTTCACCTCGAAATACAAACTATTCTAAAACGACCTAAAAATAAATTCTGTACGTTTTTTTTTTACCCTTAGGGATTTTCCTGGTAAGCAAATATAATTGCAATTTTCACCTTTTCGTTGCAGATATTTTCACAAATATAGAAATGTATAAATTTCCCTCACGCCAAAAGAGACCTATATCGAGGTCTTTTATATAAATGCCCCGCGGAAAAATACACCCTGACATTAAAGCTTTTTATTGTTTCATCGCCTTCGCTGCTTTTTTTCTTTTTTCCCAGGCGTTCCAAGCTTGGAGCTTGAAGTGTTCGGTAGGTGAGGCGGCCGAGTGAAAAAAACGTGCCGAGCGAGAGAGGAGAAAATTCGGGCGTCTATACTATAACGGGGTCTCAA